GACCAAAAAGTAGTCGCCGGAGTAGCCGTCGGCCACCGAAGTAGTCACCGGAGCAGTGGGGTGGGGTGGGGTGGGTTAATCATATTATATTATAGTTAAATATTTAATTTAATAGATTAATTGTAAAATATAATTAATAAATTAATGAAAAAATCTGAGTTTTGTAATTTAAAACTTTGGGACTTAATTTTTAATTTTCTAAAAGTAAATCCCTGAACCATAAATTTTTCCCATTTCCGAACAACGTGAAAAAGCCCAAACATGAAGAGGAGTCAGACATCACCACCAACACATACATCATCATTGTTATTTAATTGGTAACAGTTGTTGAGCAGATGGTTATGATTTGAAAAATTTTGCCACCGATTTCATATAATAAATCTTCAATCCGGAAATTAGTTCTTGAATAAAATCAATGATAATAACTTCATACTTTCGTTGAATAAAAAAAAAAGGAATAATTTTAATAAATCACCTGACTAGAATTTAGTACTAATAACATGTTATTAATTAGAGAGAGAGGAAAAAAAAAAAGAATCGAAAAATCAATAAATTTGTGTGTTTTATTGAGAACCAAAATCCCATATATATAGAAAAGAAGTAGGGATACAATAATAATAGAATTTAGAGTTACATGTGTATAATTGCCATTCATAAATATTACTTTATTTACAACATTTTTAACTAATTTAATAATTTTTAAATTTTCACAAGGAAAATTTGATCTTTTACTACAAATTTTGTAACTTTGAATGAATCGGCAAGTGCATCTGGACATGGTTAAATTCGTTACTGTTCTAAAGAGAAACGAACTGAATCCAATTTTTTGAATATTTAATAAGTGAAATTGTCGGGTCCAAATTTAATTATATAACTGAATGAGTTCTGTTCCATTTGGTTCGGTTCGATTTGATTTTCGTCTTCCGTACCATAATTAATTTTTTCAATATTTATAACAACACTATATTGATTCAACTAATAACACGTTCAATCTTAACTCACATAAAATACGTAGTATAGTTTAAAAGTAAACAAATAACAAGTCCTATAATAAGATTCATTCACCAAGGTATATAAATTACCAAAAAATAAATAATAATCATATTTAAATTAAGCATCCATTACTTGATTTGTCATGTTAAGAAATCCTACAAGAAATAATTAAAAATGTACAATTAATAAATATAAATAAACAANTTTAATAATTTTTAAATTTTCACAAGGAAAATTTGATCTTTTACTACAAATTTTGTAACTTTGAATGAATCGGCAAGTGCATCTGGACATGGTTAAATTCGTTACTGTTCTAAAGAGAAACGAACTGAACCTAATTTTTTGAATATTTAATAAGTGAAATAGTCGGGTCCAAATTTAATTATAGAACTGAATGAGTTCTGTTTCATTTGGTAAGGTTCGGTTTGATTTTCGTCTTCCGTACCATAATTAATTTTTTCAATATTTATAACAACACTATATTGATTCAACTAATAACACGTTCAATCTTAACTCACATAAAATAACGTAGTATAATTTAAAAGTAAACAAATAACAAGTCCTATAATAAGATTCATTCACCAAGGTATATAAATTACCAAAAAATAAATAATAATACTATTTAAATTAAGCATCCATTACTTGATTTGTCATGTTAAGAAATCCTACAAGAAATAATTAAAAAGGAACAATTAATAAATATAAATAAACAAAAATCTTGATTTATTGATCTTCCACCAATTTAAAATGTCAAGCATCTTCAATTTGATTAAGTTGGGCTTAGTGGTGACAATGGGCCGGACCGGGTCGGCACGAGCTCGGCTCATACTCGTCACAAGCTGAGCTCATGCTCGGCTTGTTATTCGTGGGTCGAGTCGAGCTTTGGCTTGCGAGAGCTCATGTGTTATTTTTTTTTATAAACATTTTCTTTAAATTTTTTTTTAGAAGACAAACCTTTAAAAAAAAAAGAAGATACACCCTCCTCCTTTATTCGGATTTGAGATCGGTTACTTCAATTTCGAGTAGACAAAGTTAAAAATTGTACACAAACAAAATTGTACACCAACAACTTGTTACGTGTACAGTTTTTTAGAAAAAATAAAAAGTTATTATAAAATAATTTTTTTATTAAATTTAGTATCACTTACTTGACGACATGCAATTCCACATATTTATCTTGCAGTAAAAAATAATCATTTTGCCAATCCTTTAAGAGCATTAATGCTTCCAAAATATCTTCTTTTAGTCGACTTCTGACCTCAAACAAAACCCTCTTACTTGTACTAAAATCAGATTCTGAAATTACAGTGCTAACCCGAGTGTTAGTAGGTCTTTTGCCATCGCAGAAACCACTGACCTTTATCGTTCATACTTTCGCCAAATTTCAATTACATTTTTTAAACTTTTCTTAATTGTTTTGTTATTATGCATATTATGATTAAAGTAATCAATTAATTCAGTAAGCAATGAATTTGGACTAGCGTCTGATGTTTGATTACATGCAGTAGACAAACTGCTACTAGAGGAACCACGTGCATTTTAATCATATTTATATGAGTTAATGCCTCTAATAAAGTTAATACTTCAGCGTCGTCTTCTAGTATATCAATGGGAAGAGTAGGTGCAGAGGGTACTCGATTAATATTTGTACATTTTCGTTCTACATATAATTCATATGTTTTACATAAAGTTTGTTCTAAATTTCTATAAGTGATGGGTGTATTAAAGTTAAAACTTTTGAAATCTGATCAATTACAAATTTAGAATCCGATAAATTATATTGGGGGTCCATGATGCATGCTAAAAGAAATAATATAGGTAAATCTTCCCACTATTTTTCAAACTTTAATTCCATGGAATATATAATTGCACTAAAATTTGAGTCATTTTTATATCTATAAAAAGCCCTAACAATTATATAAAGACGTTCAAATATCATACAACTAATTGAATGGTAAGGTCCATACAAAATATTTGTAGAATTACAAAAACTTGTCAAAAAAATTTTAATTTTAAAAGCTAAAATCCAATCGGATTCAATCAAAACAGTAGCATCATCGTTTCTAATATGCCTATTGTTATAAAATTCTGTTATTGAATGATTTTAACAATAAGTATGTGGAGTTCCATCTATGCCGTGTGTCACTAATAAATGTTTTCGTATTCGTCACCCTAGATCTGACACAAAATTCCTCAAATGCTTATTTTCTACTAGGTAAAATTGTGATATACACTAGTGCATCCCTAATTCTTTGAATTGCATTTTTAATATGTTTCAAAGGTCTGTACTATTAAATTAAAAATATGGTACACACATCAAATATGAAACAAATAACCAACGAAATCAGGCTCCAGTATTCTGCACAATTTATCGATAACTACTTTATTAACAGTAGCGTTGTCGAATGTAAATGAGCGAATTTTTACTCTAGCAACAATATTCTCTAATAATGTTCATAATTGTGGTAATTATGTTGTTAGCGTTATGAGTGAACTTAATAATTTTATAAGTAATAATTTTTTATGTATACACCAAAGTGGGTCTATTTAGTGTGCAGTTGCAGCTACATAATCTATTTTATGAATCTTTTCCTTTATATAACACTCCCATATTTTTCTAAATCGACAATCAATATTTTTTTGTATGAAGAAAATATTCAATTGTATTTGAAAGGAGTGTTTTGACTTACCCCAACGTACATTGGTTGAAAATATTCTTTCACGTATGGGACGAAATGTTGGTTGTCCGTTATTGTTAGAGGCAACTCAGCAGCTGCAACAAATTTCACCATTTCCCTTCGATCTTTCTCCACGTAGAAAGTGCGTAGTAGTAGAACCGGTGCCTTGACTACCAAATTGCGGTTGCGTTTGACCGGTAGAAAGAAACCTGTGTTTGGCCGCACATGCTTTATAGTGATGGTTGAGGTGGATGGTTCCAATACCTTTTTGTTATGCCAATCGTTGTTAAAAGTATTTATATACTGCTTTAGATTCTCCAACTCCATCGACCACACGGCCTATTTGAATCAATTTAAAATGATTCCAACATTTTGCATGTTTTTCCCTTTCGCTTCCCTCTTGCATCAGGAATATCTAATTCATATTCATTCTCCCGTTCTGCCTCGAAAACATCATCGTCATCCAAATCAATTGGATTACTACTTCCATGAGCATCGAAATTCAGAATATTTTTGGGAATAAGAACTTCGTTTAGACCAACAAATTCATTCTGGAATTGACTTTGCGGCGTGATAGGTGATTCGCCCCTGATACCGAACAAACCTTCAACAAATGAGTGTGGATCCATTTGTGAATTGATATAAAATGTATAGTAAGTAACAATTCAAGAATTGAAAAAAAGTTGACGTGTAAGATTGTAATTGAAAATTTGTAGTCTGATAATTGATATTGAATAATTGAAATTGAATGTAGAAATAGAATTGAGAAATGAATGTAGATGATGTAGTAGTCTAGAAGATAGATTGTAAAATCAAGATTACAATTGATAATGTAAAATGTAGAAGATATTAGATAGTGAGAGTTGGGTGCAAAAAAAAAGGGAATGAGATGGATATTTATAGACAAAAAAAGAAGGAAAAAAAGGTTCAGTGACCGTCCAAACGGTCACTAAACTTAAACAGTGACCGAAACTGTCACTGAATTTTTGTTAGTGATCGTTTCGGTCACTGCTTCAAATTGGCGTAGCTTGGCTCGTGGCTCGCCCATGAGCCGCTCGCTTGGACGCTCGGCTCGCCTAGTAAGCCAGCTTGCTCGACTCGTGTTCGGGCACGTTAGCTGCTCACGAGCCATCTTTTGACGAAACGAGCGGTCGAGCAGACAAGTCGTTCGGCCTGTTTGCCACCTCTAGTTGGGCTTCAACCGAAGATTAGAAATATGAAAATTATATTTCGGTTTGGGCTAAATTAATTAATTTGCTAATGAAATAGAAAAATGATATTTTTAGACTCAATAATTAGTTGAAAAATTTATTTAGAAAAATTCAAATAATTTGACTTATCTAATATAAAAAATTAGTGAGATTTGACTCTTATTAGGAGTCTAACGAAATTCGTTATTTATTGATTCAAATATCCTTTCAGACATTTGAATTAAAATGAATAGCTCGATTCGATTCGATTCGATTGTAGTTAGCGGTGGCAAAAAAGCTCGAAGGCTCGGACGGCCCGGGCTCGGNCTAGAAGATAGATTGTAAAATCAAGATTACAATTTATAATGTAAAATGTAGAAGATATTAGATAGTGAGAGTTGGGTGCAAAAAAAAAAAGGGAATGAGATGGATATTTATAGACAAAAAAAGAAGGAAAAAAAGGTTCCGAAACTGTCACTGAATTTTTGTTAGTGATCGTTTCGGTCACTACTTCAAATTGGCGTAGCTTGGCTCGTGGCTCGCCCATGAGCCGCTCGCTTGGACGCTCGGCTCGCCTAGTAAGCCAGCTTGCTCGGCTCGTGTTCGGGCTCGTTAGCTGCTCACGAGCCATATTTTGACGAAACGAGCGGTCGAGCAGACGAGTCGTTCAGCCTGTTTGCCACCTCTGGTTGGGCTTCAACCGAAGATTAGAAATATGAAAATTATATTTCGGTTTGGGCTAAATTAATTAATTTGCTAATGAAATAGAAAAATGATATTTTTGGACTCAATAATTAGTTGAAAAATTTATTTAGAAAAATTAAAATAATTTGACTTATCTAATATAAAAAATTAGTGAGATTTGACTCTTATTAGGAGTCTAACGAAATTCGTTATTTATTGATTCAAATATCCGTTCAGACATTTGAATTAAAATGAATAGCTCGATTCGATTCGATTCGATTCGATTGTATTCGGGTCCAAACAACTAACAGGGTAGTCGTAAGCGCCATTCCCTTCTGTTCACTGAAGTACACGACAAAAAATAACCAATCTTGTTCGTCCATTTACCATTCCTTGGGCCCCCTCCAACGGCTATAAGATAAGCTAAAAATTAATATAAATGCCACAGTAGCTTAGTGTAGCATCTCTGTCTTCATCTTCCACTACCCAATTTACGAGTCTTTCGTAATAGATTTAGAGTTGGAAAAAATAATGGCTCGCAATGATTTGTTGGTCGTCGGAGTACTAATCGCCTACTGTATCGCCGGAGGATCGTCTACCTTCGCCGATGAAAACCCGATCAGACAAGTCGTTGACGACCTGCATGACCTCGAGACTTCCATTCTCCAAATCGTCGGAAATTCCCGCCGCGCACTCTCCTTTGCGCGATTTGCTCATAGGTACCTTTTTTTTTTTGGCTCTGTATTCAATTAATCGAGATTTTCCGGGTTAAAAACCTGTTAGGAGTGTCTATTTGGCCAGTCATCTATTTTTTGTTATAAATTTGATCCTCAGCTTTCATTTTACAGTCATTTCAGTATAAAAAAACTAACAGAATATGCGCGCATGAATTAAACTAGGACATTAATTACCAACAGCCAGTAGGGATGAGTAGGAAATCCTTGTTCCATGTGCATATTCTGTTACCTTTTATTCATGATATTGACAGCAAAGACTAACTGAATAAGTTTAAGTGTTGCGGTCTAGAACCAATTATTTATGGTCCTTAATGGAACAAAAAGTTTGATGTCTTGAGGTTTATTTTGTTAATGAGATTTGTTTTCAAGGTATGGGAAGAGATACGAGGGCACTGACGAGATGCAGAAGAGGTTCAAGATATTCTCAGAGAATTTGAGGATTATTAGTTCACACAACAAGAAGGGA